ATAAGGCAGTGGTTTCTTAGGAATGACACCAAAGCATAGTCAACAAAAGAAAAAATAAATAAACTGGATTACATCAAAATGAAAAACATTTGTGCTGCAAGCATTACCATAAAAAAAATTGTGGGCCGACCAAGTGGCGCATTGGTTAGGAGTTGGCTTGGGACACCAGCTCTGAGCAGCAGGGCCCCGGTTCGGATCCCACACGAGGGCCAGTGACACTGCACCCTCTAAAAAAAGAAAAAGAAAACAAAATCTACAAAATGGGAGGAAGTATTTACAAATATCTGATAAGGGGCTTGTACCTAGAATGTATAAAGAACTCTTACAAGTCAATAATTAAAAGATAAATAACATAATTTTAAAACAGGCTAAAGATCTGAAAGACATTTCTCCAAAGAAGACATAACAAATGACCAAGAAGCACATGGAAAACGGTCAGTATCATTAGCCATGATAAATAAAAATCAAAACTACAATGATGGCCGGTTGAGTGACTCAGTTTGTTAAGAGCGCGAGCTCTGAGCAACAGGGTCACCGGTTTGATTCCCACATGGGCCAGTGAGCTGCACCCGAGCTGTGCCCGAGCTGAGCTGCTGCTGAGCTGCCAACGGGCCACCAGATGGCTCAGCTGCTGAGAGAACTTGCTCCTAACAACAAGGTTGCCAATTCGACTCCCACATGGGATGGTGGCTACGCCCACCCGCAACTAAGATTGAACACAGCACCTTGAGTTGAGCGGCCGTGAGCTACTGACAAGCGGCCGGATGGCGACTGGACTTGGAGCTGAAGCTAGCTGCACCCTCCACAACTAAGCCTGAAGGACAACAACTTGGCTGCTCCCCTTCCCCAATTCCCCAATAAAATCTTTGAAAAACAACAGCAACAACAAAGAAAAACAAAACACAATGAGCTACAACTTTATACTCACTAGGCTAGCTGTAACCAAAAAGACAAACAATAATCAGTATTGGGGAGGATGTGGGAAAATTGGAAGTCTCATACACTGCTGGTGGCAATGTAAATCAGTTCATTCGCTTTGGAAAACAGAATGGCAGTTACTTAGAAAAGTAAACATAGTTACCACACAATCCAACAATTCCACTCCTAGGTATATACCCAAAAGAAATGAAAACATAGGTCCCCACAAAAACTTATACAGGAATGTTAACAGCAGCACTCTTCATAATAGCCCACAAGTGGAAACAACCCAAATGTCCATCAACAAATGAATGGATCAATAAAATGCAGTGCATCCATACAATGGAATGTTATTCGGTGATAAAAAGGAATAAAGTGCTGATGATGCATGTACAACATAGGTGAACTTTGAAAACATGCTAAATGAAAGAAGCCTGTCACAGAAGACCACATACTATATGATTACATGTATATGAAATGTCCAGAATGGGCAAATTTATAGAAACAGAAAGTAAATTAGTGATTGCCTAGGGCTGGGCAGGGGTTAGGGGTTAGGGAGAAACAGGGAATAGCTACTAATAGGTACCAAGTTTTGGGGGAGTGATGAAAATGTTCTGGAATTAGCAGTGTTGATTGCATACCTCTATGAATATAGTGCTGAAAGCCATTGAATTGTACACTTTAAAATAGGCGAAGCGTATGGATATGAATTATAGGTTAATAAAGGTCTTTTTTAAATGCAATAAAATTAAGTTAAAGACTGAATGGCAGAGGGCCAGCCGAGTGGCGCGTTGGTTAAGAGCTGGCTTGGTTAAGAGCCAGCTCTGAGCAGCAGGGCCCTGGTTCAGATCCCACATGGGGGCCAGTGACACTGCCCTTTACAGCTAAGATGGTGAACAACAGCTCAACCTGGAGCTGGGCTGCCGTGAGTCCACCGGCGATGGCGTAGGCTGCAGCCCCTGCTGCAGTGGGTTGCCATAAGCTACCGTGAGTGGCCGGCAGCCAGTGTGAGCAGCTGGAAGCCAGTGTGAGCTGCCAAGAGCCACCATGAGTGGCCGTCCAGAGGCCAGCGACAGATCTGCCTCACCCGGGAAGAGCGCAATGATGGTGCCAACATGGGCCAGTGAAGCAACGTCCTCCACAACTAGACTGAAGAACGAAACAACAGCAACTTGTCTGTTCCCCTTTCTCCGATTCCCCAGTGCTGTTCCCCTCCCCCAATTCCCCAATAAAATCTTTAAAAAAAAGAAAAGACTGAATGGCAGGAAGACTGCCCAGCCACAGCCCTACAGTGAGTGAAATGGGGTAACTATGAAGATACACTATTGTTGGATATATAGAAACTGGTTAACTCTTGTATCCAAGCCTTGATATAAAATCCAAAGACGTCCACATTTTTCTCCTACAGCATTGTACCATATTTCCCATGTATAAGACAACGCTCCCATGTGTAAGACGCACCTTAATTTTGGGGCCTGAAATTTGAAAAAAAAAAGTATTACATAAAGTTATTGAACTCAAGTCTTATTCATCATAAAACTCATACAACTCCTCATCACTGTCAAAACTCCCAACCATTATCTTGTCCTCATCTGTGTCTAATGACGAATTACTGTCTTCATATATTGCCTCGTCCTCAGTTTCATCTATGGCATTTGAAATCTACAACCACTGTGTAAGACACACCCAGTTTTTAGACCACAAATTTTTCAAAAAAGGTGTGTCTTATATGTGGGGAAATACGATAACCTCAACTTGAACTCAGTGTAACAAAATTCAGTATAACCAAAGCTTTGGGCCATTCTCTGGGAGTTTGGGCAGGCTAGAACTGAACAAGATCATGTGTAAAAGTCAGGGATGGGCTGACTTGTTGGACAGAGGTAGTAGACAAGCTAACGGGCAGAAAAAAGGTCTCAAACAGTTTCAGCCTCTGGATTGCAGCTGTATCTTCAAACCAAACACAGTTTCTATATTCACCACCTACTGAAAGAGTTTTGGTCGATAATAATGATTGTGTGCCTAGCATACCATTGTATTAGAGGCTGGTGAACAATGATTAAGGTAAGTTCTCTGCTTCTGACAAGCTTCCAGCTTGAAGGGAAGCAAGTAATTGCACTAAAGTAACAGAGGAATGCTGTAGTGGGGATCTGGACTAAGTGCTGTGGGGCAGAGTGGAGGGGAAAACTTACTTTGCGTGAGTAAAGCTGCGGAAGCTCCCCGTGAAGGTGACCTTCCAGCTGGGTCCTGAGAATAAGCAGAAAATGCCTGCAATACACTCTAAGCATTTTTGCCATGCGTATGAAATTCTTGTCATGCTAGGAAGCCCGTGTTTATAATCTACCCTTATCTAAAAACCAGGCAGAGTTAAGTACATACCAAAATGGCACTAAATATGCTATAAATCTATTCAGAGAATAACAGACATGATTATGTAGTTTGAGACATTTACAGGCATTCTTTATCCTGCATTTTTTATAAGAACACAGATAATTAAGAAAATAATCTATTGTTAACCCTGATTTATCTGCTAATCTGTTTTATTTTGCTCTATCAAACAGCAGGCCCATTTCTGTCTAGAAGACTGGGCTGAACCACGAAATCATTTACTTGCAGGGATAGAAGTGACTCCAACATGGACTCTGTACACTGCGACTCCAGGCCTCACTGGGTTTATTTACTCCTGGTTTAGTTTTTGTTTTGTTTTTCTTTTCTTCAAATAGTTTAGAAGGATTTCCCACAACTTCCCTTGATAATCTGTCTTTTGTCATCTTTGATCTGCGATGTCATGTGTTAAGTGAAACAAAGTGGAGTTTTAATGTGCAATTACTCGTAAAAACAAACTGGCAACCCAGAAGAATACTAGGATGGGATTCCTCAAAAGCTTGAATTCCTCTGAAACAGGAGCTTATCAACAAATGGCCTGTAAACCAGTTTTATCCCCCAAATATTTTACTCCATCTCTGAATGAACAAAGCGCTTTTATCTCAGTGTGATTTGTCAAGCAATTACAAAGACACCCTACCATTTGATTTCCAGGCTGACCATCTCCTGCTGTGATAAAATTAAAATTTCTCCTGTCAGTTTGGTAGGAAAGGGGCAAAACCATGATGACAGGAAGAAAACTTTTCTTTTAGAAAAAAATTTAAAAACTACCCCCCCACAGAAGAGAGCTTTCTTCCCTTCTACCCCTGGACTTTATTGCTAATGTCCTAGGAACACACGCTTTTCTCACCTCCTATGCCTGGTTACACTCCAAATTAGCCCAACAGATTTACTACTTATATTTGAGTGTTCCCTGCACGTTTTGTGTAACTAGCAGTGTTATATATGGCTTTGTTAAAACTATGTTTGCTGTTCCATAAGTATGATTTTAATCTCAATTCCTCTCTGCTTACTTTCTTGAGATTTAGTTCTTGTTAAATTAAATGTGTCAATCTTCCCCCACCCCACTCCCCAAGAGAATTGGCTTTGGTACGCTAAAAAGAATAAAATAAAATTACATATCATTGATAGGTATACATCAATGAAATCCAATGAAATACAAAATAGGACGAATTTTGAAGGTATACAAAAGTTCTTGCAAGTGTTTTTCCCAATATAACTTGCCCACAAAATGGGAGCAGAACAATCCTGGACTTAAATTAGTACTGAAAGTTTACAGGTCTTCTCTCCAGAATAGAATAGTTGTTTTAGTGGAGGCCAACTGAGTCATGGGTTTTATGTGAGCAATTTCCTAACGGGCATGAACGCAGAATGTTATTTCTTCTCAAGTGAAAGGTTAGTTACATATGACCACCTAAGAATTGGGCAGAGAATTGGGGTGGAGGCCCTAGGGATCAGCAGACCTCTATCCTCCACTACCAGCTCTGTCCCAGCCCCCCTCCCCGCAGCCGTAGACACTAGCCAGCTCTAGTTTAACCACTTCCCAGAAGCCTTTGTGCCAAGAGCCTTGAAATCACAGCCTCTCTTAGAGTAAATACAGACCAAGAAGTTACTCCATCCTGGCCAGCTCCTTCCAGAGAGGCTGGAGGTAGACATTTCCCCTGAGTCCATGGTTCCTCAGAAGTGTGGTCAGTCCATACCTTGGTGACTCCTTTCAAAGACAGTTCATCGCAGCTGCTATTTCCAAAGCCTGTGGGAAGTTCAGGAAGTCTTGTGGTGGGACCATACCTGAAAAATAGTCAATCCAGGTCAGGTTGGACCCTTCCCAAATAGTTTCAGAGCACCTCGATCCATCATTCATTCTTTAGGCAAGTTTACAGGTGGCCAATCCCACTGCGCAGCAGGAAATTGAGCATTGGCAGCCCATGCTGGCTAACGGAGCCCATCAGAGAGCAGCACAGCAAAGAGACCAAAGGCTAGAGCTCTCGGCCCAGCTGTGTGATCTTGGGCAAGTGACATAACCTCTCTGTGCCTCTGTTTCTTTGTCCATAAAGGGGGGGATAATAATAGTGCTTGCCTCATAGGTGATTTTGAGGAATGAATGAGTTAATACATTGGCAAGTTCTTATAATACTACCTGAAACATGTTAAATGCCACATAAGTGTTTGCTATTGTTATTTTTGAGCATGGTCAACAGGCTGAAGTATCTAAAAACCAGTATGATATAATTAAAAATAAATGATATTGCACTTATATAGGCTTCAGCTTTGATTGGATTTCCTTAGATACCTGCCTATAATAGTATAGCATTGGGACACATATTTGATTATTGTTCAAGAGCAACTATTCAACCACTTCTCAAACTGATTTTAACAGATTATTCCAGATGTTAATTAGGTCATGCCAGATTTTTTTCCTGCAGCAAACAAATTTGTTAGTTAATCCATTCAACAAAATTTAATTGATTTCTTGACTGCAGGACTTCTCAGTCTTTTGTGTGATATGTGCATTATGAAACCCAGAAGAGAGATTTGGTATGCAGGGTTTACCAAGTGTAACTGAATGCAGAACCTTTTGTTCTTAGGGTTCTGGTCCATTCAGTAGCTTCCCCAAACTGTGTTCCAAAGGGGATGCTAGTGGACATTACTTGGCAACTGACAGTAAGATTATTACATCAAGTAATATTTAAGTCCTGCCTGCCTAATTCTTAATTGGCATGAACAACTTCTATCACCCTAAAAACAAATATTCACAAATGTGGAAACCAATGAGCAATTTCCAGATTTGGAGATTTCAAAGACCAGTAAAATCAATAGGCTGCCACTATTTTATCTTGCGAAGAAAGGTCATTAAAATAAATTGTCATTTGTTATTACCATTGTTTCATAAAAGAAAAACATTTAACAACCAGAAAAGTGAAGGAATAATATAACTTCAGAGTAAAGGGTAATTATTGAAATTGAATACAGTTAGCTGTATAAAAAAAATTTACTATTGGGTTGTCAGAAAAGTCATGACGTATTTTTTCTATGTTTTTCATTGCAAAAATGCGGCATGACTTTTCCGACAACCTAATATATTATTTGCGTTTTTATCGTTTTGCCTTGAATCAGGGAAAACTTCCTGGTCTTTCATTGGGAATTGCTGATGTAGACAGCAGCACATGGAGCTTATCACATTAACCCTGCATCTTTCAGATTCATTTTATTTTGCAAAACATTGCTTCTCTCTTTTTTACTGGCCCCATTGGTCACTGTTATGGCATCCTGAATGTCTGGATGATTTATATATATATATATATATATATATATATATATATATGGATATTATTATCATGCTGAGAGATGGTGCTTTTATCTTGCTGGTATGTTAAGAACACCATGCTGGTGGAAAGAGGAAGCGACAGGGCCCTATAAACACAACTCCGTGCTGCTCTGGGCATTTTCTCCATACTTACAACTATCTCCTCTTGAAATCCATTCTGTAATAAAGGCATACCCTCTCTTTACTCAGACTCTTCTCTGGACATATACCACCTCGCCTTAAATTAAGACATGGTTCTCCTTTAAGAAGACTTCAACTTCTTCTGAAGTCTCTCAAGTGGCTTCCCCCGACTCCGTCTGGGTTAGCAGGAGGGGCCAATGTCTTCTTTATTCCCCAGTATAATCGCCAGACCCTTCTTGTTCCTCTTTTGTTATAAAAACTGTTTGAAACACTCTCTTTTAGACTTCAGGAGTATTCTCTCTCTCCCTCCTGGTTTCTCTTCTTCCTCCCCCGCTTTTCAGATTCCTTCACAGGATCCTTTCTTCACCACCTCTTCAAATATGGCATTCATTGGTTTGGTCTCAGACCCTGCCCTTTCTCATTGTATATTCTTTCCCTAAAATTTCTCATCCAATCCCATCATATCCATTACCGTCTATTTGCTAATGAATCTCCGATTTTTACCTCTTCTCCAAAACTCTCTTCTGGCTTCAGACCTGTTGGTCCTACTATTCATCCTTTCCAATAGGTTCCTCAAATTCAATATGTTTATAACGAAACTCATCGTCTTCTCCCCAGACCTGTGTGTGCTGTCTCAGACACTGCACCCTCATCCATCCAGCCGAGGCTGAAAACTAAGGGACACTGTAAGTCTTCTTTTCCCTTCACCTTTCCCAATCCCATTTTTCCTTGAGAGCAGTCAAATTTACTTTTCAAACATTTCTAGCAATCTACCATTTTCTCTTTTTTCTGGACTTGCCCCTGGTCTTCTGCAAGTCACCATCATCTCCTGCCTACATAACCAGAACTCCAACCTCAACTTGTGCAGTGTTTTGTCCACTCTGTACAGTAATATTTTTACAACTCTAACCTGATTACGGAATCCTCAGGCTTGATGGCTTTTCCTACCCAGACTCTTTAACATGACTGCAAGGTCCTCATGATCTGGCCTCTGCTTGCTTCCAGCACCTGTGCTGTCTTCCCTCTATACCCAACACTCTCAGGATCTTAAAGAAGCCACAGTCTCTTAGGCCTCTAGGCCTCACACATGTCACACAGCCTTTTCTAGACACTTTTCACCACCGCACACATACATCATCTACCCCATACCTCTGGCACATCTTTAGGTCTCAGCTTGGATATCACTTCCTCCAGGAAGTTTTCCTAGATGGTTCCTGGAAGCCCCTCCCCTGTGCTGTCATAGCTTGCTGTCCTTTCCCTATTACAGAATTTCCTACAAAAACCATAACTATTTGTTGGTTTGTTTACCTTCCCCACCAGGTTATAAGCTCACGAAGACATGGACTATGTTGTTTTCATTAACCATCATATTCCCTGAACCTAGCCCTTGGCCAGTTCATAATAGACACTCAGTAGTATTGTAAATTCATGCATTTGATTTTTTTTTTAATTTTAAATGCTCTTCTTAGTGGATGTATCACTTAAGTCTCAAGAGGTTTAACAGCATACTTAAGATAATTCAGGGGCAGGTGACTTACAAAAAGATTATTTACAAGTACGGGGTATAGAAGAACCACTAGTAACCATACAGTAACTTAGGCTGTTCCTACCCTTAGACCAGACACAGTTACACAACAGGAAGGAGAGAGTTAATGTAGAGGCAGCTCCTGGTGAGGAGCACTGGTCTTTGGTTAAGAGACACAGCCAACTCAAGGCTTCTGTGTCAATCAGGGTTCAACCAGAGAAACAGAGCTACTAAGAGACAAACATGAAGAGATTTTGCTCAAGGAATTGACTTATGTAACTGTAGGGGCTGGCAAGGCCAGGCCCGCATCTGTATGGTAGGCCATCAGAAAGGCAGGCAGAACCCTCAGGCACAGCATGAAGCTCCTGTCCACACACAGAGTTTGTTCTTTTTCTGGGAAGCCTTAGTTCTGCTCTAAGGCCTTTCAACTGATTGAGTCAGGCCCACCCAGGTTACCTAGGATCAACTTACTTACAGTCAGTTCACTTTGGACTTTAATCACATCTACAAAGTACTGTCACAGCAACACTTAGATGAGCGTTTGAGTGAAAAACTGGGAATTATAGTTTAGCCAGGTTGACCCACAAAGCTAACCATCTCAGCTAACTTGAGGGATGGGAACCAGGGAATACACGTCCTGACCTCAGTCTCCAGGGCTCTCCATTGGCTGAGCCCACCCAGTAGTCAGAAGGCAGAACCTATTATTGATCGAATCCTCAAAGGTTACTGGATTCCACACATTGCCTGGTGTGTGAGGAGAGAGATAGAACCAAGCTCCAGGCCACGATGTGTGGGGTGGCTGTGAGATTTCTCAAAACAGGTGAATGAGGATTCAGACTCAGAAAGAAGCTCCTCGAAGAGGAGAGGAACCTCAAAATTAGGGAGGAAGATTAGAAACAGCAGCATTCCTAATGAGGGCTCTTGTGTATAAGGTTTATCTTTTTGGGGGGCTTTTCCTTTGACTCTGGGGACAGACCCATGTAGCATACAGGCCCACATATTGCTCCCTTGAGTCAGAAATCCCATTCTGCACACCAAATTGTTGACTTCCTAACAATTTGGATGCACCTCTACAAGCTCATGTGGTGTGTTGTGAGGAACACACGGCTAGGACAGTACAAAGGAACGTGGCCCTTGTACTCTTTCCTGTGGCTGTCCACATGGGGAAGCTGCAGACTAGCGAGCTGGAGCCAACCAGTCCTGAAGTAAGAGAGTGCCTGACAACTCACGTACTGTGACGTAAACCCACCTGTCAGTCTTTCCCAAGTGCAGAATAATAAGGTGACACTGAAAATGGGTCCACTGTCTCCCGGGTGATATTTACTTTTTATGGTAAATGATATTTCCCTTTATGGTAAAACGTTCAGACTCTGAAGTTAAACTGGTGAGGTGCAAATCCCTGCTTCACCACTTGCTGAGTGACTGAGATTGTAGACAAGTTACTTAACCTATAGAAAGAAAATTAGTATGGAGAGTAAATGAATTAATAAAGATTTCAAACCAGTACCCAGTACATAGTAAGAGTCCAATGAATACTAGCTATCATTATTATCATTAAAAGCAAATTGGTGCTTTCAATTTTCTAAATACAGTAAACTTCAAGACCTCTTCATGAATTTGGAGCAGAGGTCAGCAAACAAAGCCAACGCCAGCCTGTCACCTGTTTTTGTAAATACATTTTTATTGGAACACAGCTATACCCAGTCAGTCATTGAAATTTATCTATGGCTCCATTTGCTCTGTCGAGTTGAATAGTTGCCACACAGATGGTATGACCCACAAAAATTAAAATATTTTCTCTGGCCCTTTATAGAGAGA